AAATATATGAATGGTATAGATATATTAGTTGCTTTTGCTTATATACAAAATCAACGTTTCAATGCACTTATATTTCAATGTCGACGATTTTATTTTAATTTTTTTCATTGTCGAAAAGATTACTTTCATTTTTGTCTTGATCTTTTACCAACTTATATTGAAAGAATAGAAATATTAATTTTATCTGAACAAAATACACCTGGTCAAATTTATGCATTTTTATCTTTTTTTCCATTATTTTCTATATTTAAACGACTTCGTAAACTTTATTTTGAATTAAATGGTCAAAATATAGATTGGTTAATAGTTCAACGAGCTATTCATTCATTATCTCATACATCTATTGATACAATTATTTTTAAAACAATGAAAACAGATAATATGCTAACATTAAATTATGTTATTAGTGATATATTTAAATTAAAAACAATTAAACATATTATTTTAATTAGTGATTTTCAACATAATCAATGGAATTTTTTATCTAATATTTCATCAACAGTTGAATATTTAACTAATTTTGATATGTCATGTGAATTTCAATATTTACAATCAATTTTTCAATGTACTCCTCATCTTAAATATCTTAATATACGACTTACATTAAATTCATATTATGGTTTTTATTATTTATCACATTCTTCGAATAATAATATTATATTAATGTCTAATCTTCATACTCTTATATTATCTTTTCAATCAAATGATCCGACAACATTTGATATGTTAGCACAATATCTTAAAGCTATGCCTGTTTTACATCGTTTAGAAATCAAAGCACATAACGCACTTCTAGAGGCAAGTGCTTGGGAGTCTTTATTACAAGTATCATTACCTTTGCTAACTAATTTTAGTCTCAAGACAACAACATTTTGTCTAAATGAAGCTGATATTGAAAAGATCCTAGCAACATTTGATACATCATTCTGGAGAGCAAAGAAAAATTTTTATATGATGATAACAAAACATGAATATTCAAATTCGAATAGATTTGATATAGGAAATATACAACAAGATGAATATAATCAACCAGTTATACAATTTTGGATAGTACCTAAACGTGCTCGTATTGATGATATTCCTACGAATGAAATTATGAATTTTGGTATATCTAATGTAACTAGTTCTTTATCAAATGATTACCATTTCAAGAATCTTAAACATCTTGTAATTTATAATCTAGATAAAGATCTTCTCCAATGGTTTGTAACATATGTGAATTATTCACAAATTCAATATCTTGATATTTCATTACAAGACAATGAATCTAATACAATTACTTTACTCTTATCATATATTAGAAATATAATATCACTTCGAATTCCATATAAACTTTTACTTAATCATCAAAAAGTTTATTTAGGAAAAACTAATTATTTAAAATATCTTGATATATCTGTTGATGAACATTATTTTGATGAAAAAGATATTATTACTATTTCACAATTATTTCCGTACATAGAACATTTAACAATTAATACAATAAAATTATCGAATATTCCATTAATAAAGACTTATTTATTACATCTTCGTTGTCTTACATTTAAATGTATTAATTTTTCATTTTCATCTTATGATAATTATGAACGAAAATTATGGGATGATCAATTACGACGAAAAGTTCAATTCTTATTTGAACGTAAAGCAGATTCGATAACAATTTGGACTGATCAAGATACATTCGAAGAATCTTACTGGGGAAAATTTAATTGAAAATTACAAAAAAAAAACAAACAAACAATATGGCAATGTATTCAATATGACGTTTAAACAAGAATCTCATTAATGTTTTTCTATTCTAGCTTATCATAATTCTAAATAAATAATCATATATATAATTTTAATGTCATACATAATTAATATGTATTTCAAAAAAATAAAAATTTTAGAAATGTACAAATGATTTTTTTTCTTTCTATGTTCATTAAAATCTATTCAATAATTTTTTACGCGCAAAAAATTCCTCGGAAAACTTAACATATATTTATCAAACTATGAATATTCACAAATGTGATTTGTATTCATAGTCATCATTAGTTTATGTTGAAGTTTTTTTTTTTATTGAGGACTATCAAATAGATTGAAAAGAAATAGAAAAGAAGAAAGCAATTGTACTATTCATTGAAATCAAATAAACAATATTAAATAGTTTAAGTATGTGATTGATAGAAGTTTGTAATCCATTTATCGATTTCATTCATATCATAAGTAAATGTTTCCTTGTCAGGTTCAGCTTTTAATATTAATTTACCTTCATAAATGACAAAGAAACGAAATGGCCATGATCCATAGGTATTAAGAAAAGTATTATTTATATCATCGACAAACATAGGCATTTCGAAATTGAAATCTTTTTTAAATCTTCGAGCATTTTCAAGTCGTTGTTCAAATGTTTTTGGTTGATCAACACATGAAATTGTCTGACCAACTGGCCATTCATCTTGTGAATGTGCCTCAGCAATATAAATTGCAATAAGACGTATACCATTCGGCACATGTGAGCGAACAAGCGCGCTAATTATAAATATCAATGTTTCAATGTTTCAATTCAAAATAAAAGTCTTACTTCATTCGCTCGACATTTGCTCGAAATGGAGGTCAAGTTGTTGA